GGGCTCGATCCCAGGACCCTGGGATCATGACCTGAGCCGAAGGCAGAGGCTTTAACCCACTGAGCCACCCAGGCGCCCCTGAGTAGAATTCTTGAATCATACAACTTTTTGGAATCAAAAAACTTGAAACTAGAAGGGACGTTAGCAATCACTCAGCATCTGAGGCAAAAGCCCAGCAAAATGAGGCAGTTGTCACATGTTTATGTTGTTAGCTAGAGGCTGACTCGAGAGCCCTTGCCTAAAACCTAGGTGATGTTTTCCAGCCCATCACAATTATGTTTTTTATTATATTGCTTCTTTATCATTTATAGGACAAGAAAACCAACCATGAAGAACGGGCTATTTGTGAATACAATGAAAATCCAAAAGGTGTGAACACATTTGACTTCAGTAGGCCAGCTACCTTAACATACACACATGCATGCATGCATACGTATACATACATGTGCACACGTATGCAGTGGTTGAGGTATTAGAGCTTACACATGTGTATTTTATTTCTTGCTTTTTACTGTCACATGAGCCTCATAGCAAGCAATGAAATACGTGACCCAGGTGTACTTGTTCTCATTAATCGTCACTCACAGCTACTCACTTATCACTGTTAAGTGGTTCAGGACAGCCTTTTCACTACCTTTTTTTTTTTTTTTTTTAACTTTTCAACCAGTAATATTAAGTTGGGCTTTTGTCCCACATCTCAATTTATATCTCTGGTGGGCACTGCCAGACCCCGTTGCTAAAGACCAGGCTGGCCTGGAGCCACGGCTGACCAGCCCATTATTTCCCCCAGGGCTCAGACTTGGGTCTTTCATCTTATCATGGACATTTAAGGCAGGTCCTGTCCCAGGCCTTCCTGTTGGTGTCAGAGAACAGGTGCCACAGAATTGAGGGGACAGTGATTACCCTTGAGACCTACATTTTGTACCGCCAAATCATCTGAGTTTTGTTGTGCAACCCTATGTTTCCACACCATCACATCAAAGTGTGCTTTTTGCTGTGTCCTCATTAAAAATAACCATTCATAGTAGTGGATATCTGATCTGAACTTGGGCAGGAGGAAGAGTAGTTCCTTCATACTTTTTTCCTTCTAACTTCAACAGAGTAGTAAGTTTTAGAATATTTGAAGCAAAATGTTAAAATATTATAAGTATTCTTAGCAACTAATTAAAAGTAAGATTTAAGTAGTTGATAATATAAAATTATAAGAAAGCATGTGCTTCATGAGTATACTTTAAAGATTATTATTCGGTTATATAACTGGGTTGATTTGAAACACCATGTCTGTATGAGTACAAAGAATTTAATTATAACTAGGTTAACTAAAAAGAGTAATTTCTATTTTATGGAAGTCTTTCCTAACTCTCACTGTTACCTTTGTAGCTGTATTTGGGTACTGGTCATGCAAACATCTCCAACATTGGTCAGGTCATTCTGGGCTTTTTGCCTTAACTCAACCTTCTCGGAAGTAGGCTGTATAGACCTTGTCTACTGCTCCAGTGGTAGTGGTACACTCTCTTTAGTACTCCCCCTAAGTCAGGCTTGATAGAGTTGCACTGTGGGCATCAGGACTTTTCTTTTTCTCATTACTTAGGAAAACATAATTCTAAATATATTCTATTGTAGGAAACATGTGTGATCGTGCAAAGAGCAGATCTTCTGAAGTCCTGGAAGACAGTGAATCAACACCAAGTAAAGACATCAAAAAATCAAAGAAGGTAAGTGAAATTTATTTTTCATTTAGTGTTAAGTATTGAATTGCTCCTTTTACCTTTTATATAGTGATCCACATAATTTAACTCCTCAATATGAGCTTTTATGGCTCCAGAACATGTGACGAATTTCAAGTGTTGTTTCGTGTTTTAACATAGCTGTTTATTTGCTGTGTTTTAGATGGAGTCAGGTGACCCTGCCAGAGTTTAATAGCACGTTCCTTTCAATGATCCCATTCATAGAGATTCAGCTTACAGGAAAAGATACACAAAAGAACTTTCTTGCATAAATTATGAGTGTAATCATCATGAGAGTCTAGAAGAAAGTAAGGCAAAACCAAGAAATAGGATAAATGCAAAAAATAAGGATGTTACATGCTTAGGAAATGTGACCACAGGCTACGTCAGCCTTTCCTGCCGAATACCTGTTTTGGAGTTAATAGTCTGAGAGATATGGTTCTTCTTCTTGAAAGTTACTCTTCCCACTTGCCGGAGAACTTTCTGTAATCATGAGAGCACATTTCCAAGTTGAAGCATTAGGAGGAAATGTGGAAGAAAAGATCCATGAAAGGCCTTATTAATTCCTGTTCGGCCTTTGGGTTTGGGCTTCAAGTAGTTATTTCTACATAGAGGACTTCTGTGACCAGCTGCACTTAGATAAATTATGTCCCATTACTGTCCTCTCACGTAACCCCCTTTTCTCATCCTTCTTTGTATTTATCGTAATTGGCAATTTCACAGTGAAGTGTACATTTATTTGCTTTATGACTCACTCTCTCTCCACTGGCCTTCCGCTCTGTGAGCCAGAAACTATTTTCTGTTTTGCTTTCCAATGGATCCTTAGCAGGCAGCACAGGCCCTGGTACACGGGACATGGTAAATGCCTAGGAAATCTTTTTGGTTGATAACGAACTATAAAATGTAAGGAGGTAAGAAAGAGGCGAGGAGGAGGGTAAAACCAGGAGCAGCCCTTAGAGTAGTAAACAGCCTGTCTCTTGCCACAGAAGTTTTCAAGCAAAAATTTTGGTACAGGTCCCGGGTTGTTTATCTTTTACTAAAAATTACTTCGTGAGTATTCTTACTTTATAAAAATTGCCTTATATTTAGAGATAGCTGTGACCTGGCTCAAAGGATACTCTCAGAATTACTCTCCTTCTTAGAATTATAATGTGTGTCGTGAAGTGTTAGGAACATTCTCTGTCTAGTAGAAAGGAACATTTAACAGATACTCTACTACATAGCGATCCCGTGAAGACTTTTTTCCAACTTTAAGAGCTTAGGGAAAGACTCTGGAAAAGAAAGTCAGATTTGAGGAAGAGAGATGAAAAGTAAAGGAGTCAGGAGACAGAAGAACCTAGGAGGAAAAGTGAAGTGAAGCAGTGGAAGAAAATATTCGAAACACATCTCAGACTGAATGAAAACGTGTGTTCTAGAATACACGATCGAGTTTCGGGACTTTTTCAGGCTGTCCAGTCTTCAGCATGGCATTGCCCACCGGTGGGAAGATTTGGATACCCAGGACTAGGAGAGGGGGCTGAGCCAGGGGAGAAATGCCATGTGGGAGGCGGAGAGGCCTGCTCCCGAGCAGGCCAGGCAGGGGGCCTGAGCACTGGCACAAGTGGACGGGACAGATGGGAGGTCAGGCCAGGGGACAGTGGGCTGCAGGTGCCAGGCTCAAGGATGTAGTCTTTAACTTGGATTCTGCTCAAATTCTCATTGATACATAATGGAAGAATATACTTCAGTAAATGTACATGTCCTTGGTTAAAAGAAATAAAAAGTAATGAAAATCATATTTAAAAAGTCAAGTAACAACAAATGTATTTCTACTTAAAGAATATACTGTTATTCTACATATTTTAAAAAGGACATAGATGATTTAGGTGAGATTTTCTTTTAGTCAATTCCACGTGACCTTTTTTAATGTAGAGTGTCTCTAACCTTTTTATACCATCCAAGCCAAACAAATCAAAACTTTTTAAAGCTTGGAAAGTAAAAGATGCATTAACTCATATAAAAAGAATATTTAGACAGACATTGCAAAGATAATCCACAAAAGGAAAAGAAGGAACGGTACTCTTGGCAGCTACAGAACAGAATTCACCTCTGAATTTTGTTTTGGTGATTTTAGATGTTTCAGATCGGCAGGTTAGGACCTATGATCTTAACTGATGGCAGAGATCTTTTAGTAGGTGAATGGTATATCTAGAAATTCCCAGATACTACTTTTCTCCACTGTAGCCACTGCTGGTTATTTGGATCCACAGTTAGCCACTAAGAAAAATGTGTTATTGGCTTCATTTCCACCTAAGGTAGCTAATAAAAAAGGGTAGTAAACTTTTCAGCTATTAAAAATAATTTCTTTATGTTATAGAGGTAGTTTATTCATGTATTTCTTTAGCATATACTAATTGGTTATCTCTTAATGTGCCAGGCACAAGGCCAGAGACTGCAGATACAGAGGTTAAAGTTCGAGTGCCTTCCCTCAGAAACTAGCTGCAACATGGCAGATCCCCTGGGTAGTTCCAATGCCAGATCAGTCAATAGATTTCCTGTTCACTGTCACTACCATAAATAAAAGATGCTGAGATGAGAGTGTCTCCACCAAAAAAGTATGCTTGTGAATTCTTGCCTTTCCTAGTTACTGCCTTTTCTCTGATGGTATGCTTTGTTCCCCATTGCAAGTTACAAATGAGCATGCTCACTTCAAGTACACAGTTAGCCAGACTTTATATTGTGAGAAAAACTGGAGGTAGATTATACCTGTGGTCTCCTCTCATTGTCTGTTTTTTCCAAAGCTTAAAACCTGAGACAGTCTCAGGTCACCCAATAATGACTCCCCTGCTTTTTAAAAAGAGCTATATTGAGATATAATTGACATATGCTAGATGACACATACTTAAAGTATATAATTGGATTACTTTTGACATGTGCATACACATGAAATCAGAAAACCGGTGCCGTTATTGGCAGAGGGTTCTTCGTGCCTCTTTGTGATCCCTGTCTATCCAAACCACTGATCTTCCTTCTATCATTGTACATTGTTTTATAAGTTCTAGATTTTTATAGAAATGAAATCCTAGGGGTGCCTGGGTGGCTCAGTGGGTTAAGCCGCTGCCTTCGGCTCAGGTCATGATCCCAGGGTCCTGGGATCGAGTCCCACATCGGGCTCTCTGCTCAGTGGGGAGCCTGCTTCTCTCCCTCTCTCTCTCTCTGCCTGCCTCTCTGCCTACTTGTGATCTCTGTCTATCAAATAAATAATTAAAAAAAAAGAAATGAGGGGTGCCTGGGTGGCTCAGTGGGTTAAAGCCTCTGCCTTCAGCTCAGGTAATGATCCCAGGGTCCTGGGATCGAGCCCCGCATCGGGCTCTCTGCTCAGTGGGGAGCCTGCTTCCACCTCTCTCTCTCCGCCTGCCTTTCAGCCTACTTGTGATCTCTGTCTCTGTCAAATAAATAAATAAAATCTTAAAAAAAAAGAAATGAAATCCTACACTATGTACTCTTTGTTTGCCTTCCTTTGTTCAGCTCAATTGTTTTGAAATCCATCCATACATGTATCAATAGTTCATTCCTTTCTCTTGCTGAGTACTATTCTGAGTCAATTTTTTATATGGTGATGGTATGAATTGAAGTTCTTCTTTTTTTTCCCGCTTATGGGCATCTGATCATTCTAGCACTATGTGTTGAAAAAAGATTATCTTTTTTCTACTGAATTGTCCTCACAGATATCAGTTAACTTTTCCATGTGTGGGCACATTTCTGGAGTCTGTATTCTGTCCCTTTGATCTGTTTATCTTGTGCCAGTCCCATACTGTCTTGATTACTGTAGCTTCATAATAAGTCTTGAAATCAGGAAGTGTTACTCCTTCACCTTTGTTATTTTTCAAACTCGTTTTGGCTCTTCTAGGCCCTTTGCATTTCCATATGAAATTTTAGGATCAGTTTGTCAATTACTGGAGAAAAAATGCCTTCTGGGATGTTGATTGGGATTGCTTGGAACCTACAGATGGATTTGAGAAGAGTTAAGATCTTAACAATATTAAGTCTCCTAACTCATGAAGTTACTTCCCCATTTATGGATGTTTTATATTTTTCTTCGCAATGTCTTATAGTTCTTAGTGTACAAGTCTTACACAGATTTTGTCAGATTTTTTTTTTATGTCTTCTGTTTTTTTATTCCCTGATTAACTGGTTAGAAGTTTGTCAATTTTATTGATCTTTCCAAGGAACTAGTTTTTGGTTTCATTTATTTTTCTGTATTGTTCTATATTTTATGTACACTCTAATCTTTATATTTTCCTTTCTTCTACTTTCTCTGAGTTAATTTGCTCTTCTTTTTCTGGTTTCTTAATATGGAAGTTGAGGTCACTGATTTGAGACTTTTCTTATTTCTTAAGGAGGCTTTTTGTGCTATAAATTTTCTCTGAAGTACTTGAATATATTGTGTTTTCATTTTCATTCGGTTCAAAATATTTTTTCACTTCTTCTTTGAGTCATGGGTTACTTAATTTCAACATATTTGGTTATTTTCCATTGAGGTTTCTGATATTAATTTCTAATTTAATTACATTGTGATTAGAGAACATACTTAGTATGACTTGAGTCCTTTTAAATTTATTGAGATCAGTTTTATGGCCCAGAATCAGGTCTGTCTTGGTTAGTATTCCATGTGCACTTGAGAAGGTTGAGAAGCATGCTGTTGTTGGGTGGATTGTCTTATCAATGTAGTTGCTTCAAGTTGGTTGATAGTGTTAAGTATTTCCTATCTTTCCTGATTTTCTGTCTACTTGTAATATCTATTATTGAGGAAGGGGCATTAAAATCCCTAAATGCCACTGTGGATTTATCTATTTCTCCTTGTACTTCTATTAGTTTTTGCTTCATGTATTTTAAAGCTCTTATTAGGTTCTAGAACATTTAGGATTGTTATATTCTCTTAATTAATTGACCCCTTTATCATGAAAGGACTTCTTTATCCCTGATAATATTTGCTCTGAAATCTGCTTGGTCTGATATTACATAGCCACTCTAGCTTTCTTTTGATTAGAGTTATCATGTTGTATCTTTATTCATCCTTTTACTTTTAACTCATTTGTGATTTTATATTTGAAATGCATTTGATTTAGGCAACATATAGATGGGTTTTGCTTTTTTATCTAAGCTGAAAATCTCTGCCTTTCAGTTGGAGCATTTAGCCCATTTATATTTAATCTGATTATTAATGCAGTTACATTTAAATCAGTCATCTTTACTATTTGTATTCTTCCTTATCTTTAAAAAAATGCCAAAGTTTATCTGTTATTAATAGAGCTGTACTAGCTTTCCTTTGACTAGCGCTTTGATACTTTTTTTTTCATTCTTTTATTTGTGTTTTAGATGAGTCTCTTGTAAATGGCCTATAAGCTAGATTTTGTCTTTAAATATTTTTAATATATGTACCTTAAATCTAAAGCTAGTTAATGCTCCTGTCTTTTCCCCAAATAATACCAAGATCTTAGAAGAGTTTTCTCTCCTATCACTCCTTCCTTCCCATTTTACATGTTATTTTATCCAGTATTTTAATTTTTTAGCCTCACCAATCAATTGTTACTATTATTTGTTATACCACTTTCTTACTCACCATTCTGTTTTACATCTCAGGTATCCTTCTTGGGATCCTTTTTCTTCTCCCTGAAGAAATCCTTTGGAAGTTCCTGTCATAGATTTCTTCTTATAGTTAACTTTTTAAGTTTCTGTTTACTTGCAAATGAATGATCATATGGCTGGTTGGCAATTACTTTCTTTTGATATCTGCTCCCATTGTTCCTATTAAGAAATTTGCTTTAGTATAATTGCCGATAACTTTATATATAATCTATCCTTTCTCCCTCACTGGTTTTTTTTTTTTTTTTTTTTAGTTTATTTTGATGTACTTCAGTTCACTATGAGATGCCAAGGTGGGAATTTTTTTGCTTTAACCTTCTTCTAATTCATTATGACTCTTGAATCTGAGGATTCATGTCATTTATCAGTTTAAGAAAATTCTCATCCATTATAATTTGAATATTTCCTCTCTTCTCTTTGGAATTCTGACACAAAACTTTTCATTCTTTTATCCGTGTCTTTTAATGTTACTTTCCTGGTATCCTTGTCTAAGTAATAGTTTGGGGAATTTCAGAGCTTTCATACTTCAGAGCTCTTTGATTCCATAGTTTCCTTACAGCTGAGACTAATCTTTTCAACCTACCTATTGTGTTTATATTTTTCACATGAAATTTTATTTTGATTCTTTTTCAAATCAATCATTTAAAAACTATTTTTTGTGTGCTCATGATTTTTTTATTCTGGTTCTTTAAATAGTTAAGCATACTTATTTTATATTGTGTATTTAGTTACTTCAATGTCAGACATCCCTTAGGAATCAAAATCTGTTTGTTGCTCTGGTTGACTTGCTAGTACTCTCTTGTTTCCTTATGTGTTTTGAAATTTGGATTGTGAGTTCATGTTCAACTGGGACTTCTTGTGGAACCCCTTTAAGGCTTACATTAAGGCAAATCCATCCGTAGAGAATTTGTATTAGCCTCTGTTAGCTCCTCTGGGTGTTACCATTCCAGGACCACTTTCAGTTAATTTCTCAGTTAGGGCTTTCCCACCTACACCAGTAAAGTAAATGGGAACCCCAACCTCCCACTAGGAAAACGTGGTTCTCCTTCACTCAAAGTCTAGACCAGGAGAGCATGTTATTTTGTCATCTCCCAGTGTTTGTAGATGAACTTACATTAAGGGCATAGTTCTTAGAGGGTCCCCACTTTGTGGAAGGGTCTCAGTTCCAAGCCTCTACATTTTGTGAGATTAAATATACATTAACAGGGCACCTGGGTTGCTCAGTGGGTTAAGCTTCTGCCTTCGGCTCAGGTCATGATCTCAGGTTCCTGGGATCGAGCCCTGCATCATCTGCTCAGCGGGGAACCTGCTTCAACAACCCCCCCCACCCCTCTGCCTGCCTCTCTGCCTACTTGTGATCTCTGTCAAATAAATAAATAAAATCTTTTAAAAAAACAAATAAATATACATTAACAAAATGAGTCTAAGTTGTGAGATCAATAAATGCCATTTCATTGCTCCCTCACCTCTGAGGTTGCCTGTTCCCTACTTTTTTTGGCCCACAGGGATTTATTTCCCTTCATTTTGTTTTTGTGAACTTACTTACACATTATAAAATTATGTTTTTGTACTTACTGAGCATTTCTTGGTATTTTGTAGTAGCAGAATTTTTCAAGATATGGATTCCTCCACAACAGCAGAAACAAAACAGGAGTTCCCCCATTTTAGCCCACAGACCCTTTCTCTAGACTCTGATTTTTCAGGTTGCCACTTTTCACTTAAGTTCCTCCATTCTTTAAGGCTAAAGGCTAGCTATTATTCACATCATTTGGGTTTCCAAAGGAGCCAAGTCCTCACCTGTTTTTTTTTTTTTTTTTTTTTTTGGCATCTTGTCAAAACTTGTATGTATGTTGTCACTCTTCAGGAATCTTATTTTCTCTGGCTACATGCTCAAAAGGCTTAAATCCCATGGGGCTCTTTTCCATCATCATCTTCTCCAGTTTCTCCTCTATGTGCCCTATTTGGCACTCCCTTCTTGATACACTTTCCTCGGTCAATTCTGAGGTACCTCTCTTTCCTGCTGTCGTTTCCACAAAGTTCTGTCTCCAGTACTGACTCCTCCGCTTCTGACTGCATCTCACCCTTGGCTCGTCTTTAGTTTCTCTCCTTCTGTTCTCCTTTCTGCCTGCCTGCACTCTGTGGGTTATGACGTCTGCTTTCCTCTGTCTGGCTGCTACCTGCCCATTTATAGCCCTGGCCTCTCCTGAGCAGCAGATCCGCATCTCCACCTGCCTTTAGACCCTTGGGGGCTCCCAAAGCCATCATTTGGCGGCACTAACATTTTGCCAGAAGTTCTGATCTCTAGGAATGGAGGGTCTCGCCCCCTCCAGAACATCCTAGTTTTCATCTTTTTCCTCTTTAACAACACAACAAAGTGAAATACTGAATTTGCTCTTTGAAGAAAAATGATAATGTATTACCAAGGCACAGATGATGAACGTTAAACCCTGAAAGGTCTTAATTCAGGGAGGAGTCATGATTGCCGTTGGTAAAAGAAGAGGCCGATGGACACTGAGAATGTACCTTTGTACACGTGGTGCCCCATAAAGATGTGATGAAATAATGTTAAGACTAGTTGAAGATTATACCCCCTAAAATACTATTAAGTGACTATTCACTTACTGAAATGAATTCTTTGTGTGTGTGGGTTTTTTTCTAGATTTTCCTCTTTAAAAGGATGTCATTGACGAGTCAGAAAAGTATGCAGAGTAATAATGAGCCACTCCCAGAGATAAAACCAATAGGAGATCAAATAGCTTTTAAAAGCAGTAAGAAAGATGCCAACCAGAACCACATGGGGCAAAATCATCAGGATACTTCACCCCCAAATATGGAGAGAAGGTCAAAATCTTGTACAATACTATAAATATATCTCTGTTTCCGTGGTCACCAAGCACATTGTAATTTATACTTGAAAAACATTATGACTTCTGAAGGAAAGTTTCTGATAGCAAACTTTTAAAGATATAAGTTTAATATGTTTTATTTGGTTTGACTGTTACGACCAGTTTTGGTATTTATTTATGCTAATATTTTTGACAAGCAATTTCAAAATATGTGTATCTGAAACTCTCCTTCAAGTGTTGTGGCCTTAACTGTTCAGTGTTGCAAAAGAACATATATTTTTATATGTGAAGTTTAAATTAAAATATCTCATAGTTTTTACTAAACAAATTCTTTATAATTTCATAAGGCAATATTTACAATCTTATGACACTGTAACAGTTTTTAATGTATTTGCAATTTTTAAAAACCGAGTCAAAATTGTTTCAATGAACATATTTTAATAAACTATATCTGGTCGTTTCCACTGTTTAAATGTATGAGTATGAATAAAATGTAGAGGTACTTGGAATCCTCCATCAGTTGACAGAATGGGGGCCGAAAAAAATCTGCTTATGGTTAAAATATTGCGAGACACAAACTTCATTTACCTCTGAGTAGAGAAGATATCAGGGCCACTGTGTAAACAGTACGTCTTCGCAGAGAAACCGTCAAAATTTCTTTGCCTCCCACTCTTCTTTAGGGAGGCAGCATGGCACGGAAACACGGCAGATTCTGTGCTATGATCTGGAGTGTTTCACCGTAGCTCGCCACCGTAGTACCACCACACACAGCCAGGCTTGACTGCTCCAGCTGTCGGTAGCAAGGTGGGCTCCATCACACAGTGCTCTGCCGCAGGGAAGGAGAAGGGTAAAGCGGTTATGTCTCCTTGGACAGAAACAGTGCTGTCCTGTGCTCACTGATACTACTTGTCCAGTGAGCACACCACCTTCGCTTTCACCATTCCGGCTCCTGACGAGCACATTCTATCCTTCAATCGCAGTGACCATTGCCCCACTGGAAGACAGGAAAAGAAGCTCCATTCTTGTGTTTCACGCAAAAGGGTGTTAGTCTAGAGTAGACATGATCTTGAAATCTTACAAAGTAGTTTTCCGTGTGAATATTACATTTAGGGGAATTCAATTTTGCTATTGCCACTCTAGCACTCACTAGTACATTATCGCAAAAAAGTACTTCACAAAAATGTAAACTATAAGAGCCAAGTGGCAATAAAGCTCACATACAGCACTAAGACATGCCAGTCGTGGTAGGTAGAATTCTGAGATGGCCCCCACGGTTTCCGTCAGCGGGTACGCTGGCCCTGAATCCTCCCTTCCCCTTGAGTGTGGGCAGGAACAGTGAAGACGATGAAATACCACTCCATTGCTTAGGTTCCATTATATGGGAAAGCTGACGTGTTTTGCAGATGTAATTAAAATTCCTAATCAGTTAACTTTAAGCAAAAGGGAAATAATCCTAGATGGGTCTGACCTAATCAAGTGAGCCCTTTCAAAGACGCTCTAGAGGTCAGACATGGAAGAAGTCAGAGCAATTAAAGTAGTGGCGATGCTTTCCTGTCGGCTTTGAAGATGCAAACTGCTCTATTACAGAGAGGGCCATGTACCAGGGAAGGGTGGGAAGCCTCTAGGACGTGAGAGCCTCTGTCCTCTAACCACAGGGCACTGAATTCTGCAAATAACCCATGAGGCTGGAAGAGGAGCCCAAGCTTCAGATTAAACCAGAGCCCTGGCTGACATCTGGACTGCAGCCTTGTGAGGCCCTGAGCAGAGGACACAGCTCAGCACTACCCAGGCTCCTGACCCATGAAAATTACGAGATAATAAATATATGTAGTTTTAACCCACTAAGTTTACGGTAATTTGTTATGTAGTGATAGGAACTAACAGCACTCTTACTCTGACAAAAGGCCTTTCATTATGGCGGCTTCCTCCATCAGAGCCAGCAAGAGAGTTAATGGAGGTTTCTAGCAAGACAGGGGTCACAGTCTTAGGTAACATAATCATTGAAGTGGTGTTTTGTCCCCTTTGACACGTTCTGTTGGTTAGAAGCAAGTCACAGGGTCTACTCCTACTCAGGATGACGGAACGAAGACCAGGAGGCAGGGGTCATGGGCACCATCTTAGAGCCTACCCACCATACCGGATGTTTGGCTGATGACTGAAAAGAATGGGACAGGTTACAGACCAAAGAAAGGATTGAGTCAGAGCACTTGGAAGAGGTGGATATGAGACAAGCAGAGCAAGCGGACAGGGTACCCCTGCTTTCTCAGAGGCCTCAAAGCGGTTCAGACTTGAAAAAAAGTAGTTGGTAGAGATTATCAACACCAAGAGTCAGTTTCAGTGGTACGAGTAAATACTTTTTGAAAAACTGCATGAAAACACTGTACCAGTTGTCTGCTCATGGACTGTAAATGTTTGTGTTATATTTGTTGCTTAAACATGGCTTCATATCTGGCTTTCACTTTTAAGAAGTACTAACCGAGCACTTCCTACGTGCCAGATGATCATGCCAGAAACCAAGACCAGAGTCAGGGTTCCAGGGGAGTACAAGGAAGCAAATGGAAAAATGACTGCATTATCAGCTGGAGCTCTTAGGGCAACTTAAGAGCCCAAGTTTCCTAACTGGATGGAAAGGAGATTAGTGGACACTAAACTTAAACAGAAAGCAAAGCTCACATATTTGAGAACTCTTAAAAAGAAGCCAGGAAAGATCACTGATAGAATGGAATAGAATGATCAATTTAGGCTAGCTTTAAAAATAAAAGGAATCAAAAAATAAAAAAATAAAAAAAAATAAAAGGAATCATATTTACCAATAACGTTAGCTTTACCAGAAAGTGAAATGATTTGTCTTAATCCCCAAACTATTCATCTTCATGATCTTTTCCATGAAACCCCCTCTCCTTTATATAATAAATTTGCTCTGGCCATTTTTACTGACCTTTCGGGGACCTGAAAATAGAATCTGTTGACTTGAACATTAGGGGGTCATTGACAATGTTCAGATTACTATGGACCAAGCGTTAAATGGATATTAATTTAGAAAAAGTTCGTAGAGGTAGAATTTTTAAGGTATTCTAAAACAGCATGCAAATCCATGTCAAAACATTAAAGAAAAAGGAAAAAGTTGGTAGGCACTAAGGCCCTCCTATGTATGAAGAAACTATCCAGTTCTGAAAAGGTGCTTGTATTATTTTCCTAGGGCTTCTGTAACAAAGTACCATAAACTGGGGAGCTTAAAACCATGGAAATATATTGTCTCGGAGCTCTGGAGGCCAGATGTCTGGAATTAAGGTGTTTGTGGCACACGTTCCCTTTCTCCTAACTTCTGGTCGCCTCAGACGTTCTTTGTCTTGTAGATACGTCACTCCAGTCCTTGGTCCTCACGTGGCCTTCTTCAGTGTCTTCACATTGTCTTCTGCGCATGTCTATCTATCTGTTTCCAGATTTCACTTTTTTACAAGGAGAGTAGTATAGAACTCACCGTAATCACCTTATTTTAATTTGATTACTTCCTTGGAGACTCTATTTCCAAACAATATCACATTCTCAGGTCCTGGGACTTAGGTCTTCAGTGTCTTTTCCAGGAGATCTTTCAACCCACAGTAGCATGTTAGTTTCAGAACTACTGATCCCACAAAAAATCCTCAACTGTTTATGGTCTCTCCTCTCTTGTATTCTTACTATGACTTTTCCTAAACTGGAATGGCTCTTGCTAAATCCTGGCTCTTCAATGACAAAGTATCTTCAGTGGAGATATATTGTGATGTTGAAATTTCTTTCATCAAAGCAGGAATTGTAGCGGGGTTATCTTTCCCAGGGTCCCAGACCCAGCGGGCACGTGGTCAATGTCAAATGATTATCAAATAAGTGATCACATGTGCAATCGTAGAGTTTGGATAAGGATTTGTTTCTTAGAAATTTGTACACATTTACTGTAAGCCTGAACTCAGTTTTTTAATGTATTTCCCATATGGTGTATTGCAGTATAATTCTACCCATAGGCTATTATAAATCCATAGAGGGAAAAGAAAGTCTTTCCATGAGCAGAGAAAATCTCTTCCAGCAGAAGTAGCGAACACCACCTGAAGCATCCAAAAGGGGAAAATTAGGCCAAACAGTTTTAAAATCATCAGGACTGGCAACAACGATGAAGCCCAAGCCACTGTCACAGGCTTCTATTGTCAGGGACCCAAGTGGCAGTGGAATCAGAGATGAAACTCGGAGTAATTATTTGGGGAGAGAGCTAGACTGATTTCTTTATCATGCTCTTCTGACTTTCAGTTAAGCATTTTTCTGCCTGCTCTGATTTTGTGAGACTACTGAAACTGAAAACATTTCCATACTCAAAATTTCCTTTTGCCAGGACACATGGTTTAAAGATTCTCAAAGTTCTTTAAAAATCTTTGAGTATCTTTTTTAGACAGAACTTTAAAACGTGGTTTACTTTTTTACCTTGTAAGAGTAAGAAGAAGTCAAAAGAGGAGACAAATCAGAAGGTTAGAAAGTCTTCATCTCAGGAGCGAAGGGGATATTTTATCGAATTAAAACAAACAATGCATTTAAACCGGGGATCGCGTTACTGAGGTATTTTCAAAGGCTAACCCGGAATGCGTATTGGAGCTCCTGCCACTCTGTTCCAGCTGCTAACCCTTGTCTCTCAGGCTGGGCCCAGCACTCCCAGATCCTCAGCATCTTAAAAAGAAGGTGGCCATCTGGGTTTTTAATCTGGATAACTCAGTGTGCATGTATGTCCATGCATGAGCGTGTATAAGTGAGGGGGAGCCAAGCCAGAGCTGTAGGCCGAATTTGGCCCACAAGAAGCAATTTGCAGCTTCTCTTCTAAACAGAGTACAGTATTTTGGCAAGAGAAATTTGTCCACACGGAAAATATGTTAAAAGAATTAATTAGGCCCTGGATTTATCTGAACTGTAATCTTCCCTAGTTTGATATCAGATTTTAAGCAGCAAATGAGAGCTAAAGCATTAACTGGAAGAGTGACATCATTCTACTAACGTCATTTTTTTGTTGCACACCTATGTACATTAGGCCTTCTCGGGTATGGGGAGTTGGGGGCATGAGGGAGTGGAACCATATTGAATGCAGTGAAGTGAGGTATCTTTGCTGGAAGAAGCTACATTAAAGTTAAGAGACAATAGACTGATGGGCTTTTTGATCAACAGTCCCTTCAACAATTGTGACAGATGATACTTTGGCATACTGTCACTACACAATCCTAACTACTGAAGATATCAGGAAAGGTCATCCTAACCCTCAAATTACTTAAACTACAGCAGGGAAATGTACCTGCCCAGGCCAGGCTGCATTCCCAGATAGTTCCTCTTGATTCTATATTCGCCTAGCATGTATCATACATGTATATTATGATAGGTGGGGTATCTTAAGCTTAGCAGTAGACTAGAGAGCTGTACCTAACTAGGAAATACAAAGATGGGGGCG